GCGCGAGCTGAGGTGCCGCCTTTCCCCGGCTGCGAGGGGACGGTGTCGGCGGCGCCGGGGCGAGGCGGGGCCTTGTCACCCTCCTGCCCGGAGGCGGGCGCTCTGGCTCCTCACCACAGGCCGCAGAGGGCCGTCTCCTGGTAGGGCCGAGCGGTGGGACCGCTGGCAGAAAAGAGGGTGGGAGAACCTCCTTCACTAGGGTTTCAGGGCCTCAGGGGTTGCAGAGGCGTTGAAGGCGGTGTCGTGTAAGGTTACTGCAGAGAGCTCAAAGCGAAGGGGCGCGTGAAGCTCCTTGGTTGCTGGTGATGCTGTCTGGAATTGTGGTCATAGTGTATGACAGGTGTTCTGGTGTCTATAAGCAAGGAGTTGTGAGCAGGCAACACCCGCAGTAGGCTGCCAACTCACCTGGGCTGAGGGCTCCCAGCGCTTCTGTGGCACCAGACATAAGTCAGCCCTGGAGTCTGTCCAGTGCGGTGAAATGGAGCATGTGGGAGAGTATGCACATGCAAGCGGCATGTTGGTGAATTGCTATAATCTCAGAAGCAGCCAGTTTCAAAATGATAGCATAGACTCCAGAACATTGTAAATTGGGTTAACAAAAAAAGTTTGTCTTAATAGCATTGATGTAAGAGCTGTGATGGCTCTAGAGATAAAATTTTTCTGACTGTTGCTTACCATTTCTATAGTTGATATTTTTACCAGTTCTCTTCATTCAGTGCACTTTAGGCGTCTTGTATAAGCCCCCATTACATTTTGTTTAACAAACAGTGTTTCACAAAGCAGTTTTTGAGTTGATGAGCTCAGCATTGCAGTAATTTTAATGGGAACTGCTGTGTAGGACTGTTACAGGAGATGGTTTCAGCAAGTTGGGTAGAGTGCTGGATACTTTTATGGGAAACTGCGTTATGGCTGTTGTAGAAAGCATAGTCTGTGATTAGATTCTGAGACTAGAGTAGCAGTTGTCTTTGGCAACCTTTTATTTTTGTGTGGTTATCTCGGCATTCTTTGGGCAAAGAATGACTAGAAGTGCATTGCAGATTGTTTCATATTTTTATAGAGTTCTATACAGTTCCTAGATCAGAAGAAATTCTGGTTGCTAGTAATTACACACAGGTTCCAGTGTCTTGCTCTGAAGTAGCTGAGGTGTTGCTCTTGGGAGGAGAAATGTGCCTGAGTGATCTTTTTAGAAGAGTGCTCAGGGAGTGGTAGTTTCCACTTTTGGATACCTTGATTTAAACCATTTTAACTACTGTTTTCTTTCACTAAGATTCCTGTGGGGTGCAGGCAGAGAAGTGTTGGTCGACAGAAACATGACAGGTGAAGAAATTGTTTTTCTGGAGGAGGGGAGTAGTTAGGCATGCATAAATTCCTGTCTGAAAATCCTGTAGTTTATAACAGCCTTCCCAGGCTGTGCTTCTCAGAAATCTTAGTTCAAGAAAATGACCTAGGCAGAAAAGACCAGATATGCTTTAAAATGCATAAAACTAAAGTACTTTGTAATTAATAGCAAACAGTGGATAGTATACATACTGATTGAACCTGTTTAAACTATTCAGATGATGACTGACATGATGGACTAAACCCAACGAAGTTTGTAATACACTAGGAGGGCAAGACATCCCTTTGAAGCTTTGGGCCTATGTTTTGCTCTAGGTTAAGTACATTCCCCAAGACATGAGCTGGGGAAACACAGATTAAGGAATCAGCTCATGTTTTGGGGCTGAGAACTAAAATACTGAAAATAATGAACAAGGAATACAGGTAATGAACTAAAATAGTATAATAAATACTGCGTGAAAGAATGCACAAATAGTGTAGCTAATAAAAACTCATTAGAAAAAAGGAAGGGTTGGTCAGTACAGTAAACAAATTTCACCAGAGCTTCAGGTGCTGTGTATTTTTGTGTTTAGATTTGTGAACATGGGTGTGAGCCTGGGTTCAGTGCTAGGTGTACTGGTCCGGGACAGAATGCTTTTTTATTAATTACTGATACAAAAGTAGGACTACGACAAGTTTATGGATCTTCTTGTCATATTAGCCTGTGGCAGATCAGTTATAATTGTCAATCTGTTTTTTATCTTTTGTGGATACTGCGGGGGATGCACAGCCCTGACAAATGACTTAGTATCTGCTGTAGCTGCTTCAGGCAGTCTGAACTTGTTCAGTGGTCATTTCAGTGGTGGAAGTAAGTAGTTGCGGGAGCTATGGACACGCACACAACCAGTATGATCAAGCAATGCCAATTTGTTGAAGGTAAGCAAGCCCTTTTATAGCTTTCTCCTGTTTACGCAAACGGTACGTGGTACAGTCCTTATGATTGGATAGTTAGCTTTGTCCACGCGCTTCAGGCCTTCCTGCGATTGGATAATAAGCACCACGCTCAATGTCTTTGTCCGCCCAACCCATCTCCTGGAGTTGTTTGTTTGCTGAGTTCTTTGTTCTATGTCCTTGTCATGTCCTTGCCGAGGCGTGCACATGTGCAGGATTGCTCACATGTCCATTATCTCCCAACAAGTAGTTCTTCATAGTCTCTCCCAATTTGATTGTCATCCCTTGACGTCTTTTGGCCTAATGTAGAATAAAACCACTTAATTTGTAAATGCTTTTCAGAAGCCTGTAATGTTCTGTTGTCATTGTTATGTTTCCTGCAGTCTTTGTGTGGGCTTCTGTCTTGGTTTAGCCCCAGTCGGCAACTAAGCCTCACCCAGCCGCTCGCTCACTCACTCCATCCCTGGTGGGATGGCGGAGAGGATTGGCAGAGTAAAAGTGAGAAAACTCATGGGTTGAGATAAAGACAGTTTAATAGGTAAAGCAAAAGCCACACACACAAGCAAAGCAAAACAAGGAATTCATTCCCCACTTCCCATTTGCAGGCAGATGTTCAGCCATCTACAGGAAAGTAGCGCTCCATCATGCATAATGGTTGCTTGGGAAGACAAACACCATCACTCTGATCATCCCCCTCTTCCTACTTCTTCCCTGAGCTTTATGCTGAGCATGACGTCATATGGTACAGAATATCCCTTTGGTCAGTTGGGGTCGGCTGTCCCAGCTGTGTCCCCTCCCAACTCCTTGTGCACTCCCAGCCTCCTCACTAATGGGGTGAGAAGCAGAAAAGGCCTTGACTGTGTAAGCACTGCTCAGCAGTAATGAAAACATCCCTGTATTATCAACACTGTTTTCAACAAAAATCTAAACCAGAGCCCCATACTATCTGCTATGAAGAAAATTAACTCTATCCCAGCCAAAACCAGCACAGTTTCCTATGCACTCTTTAGAATTAGGAGGAATCTCTGTACAGCACCTTTGCACCTTACCTAGCATTTTAAGGTCTTGGCCTGTGACTTGGGCTCTGGCTACCAGATCTTGCCTAGTGGTTGTGTATACACAAAAATGACCTAAGACTTTTTATACAATTGGGAACATGAAGTGAGGGGAACCTAAAATAAGAGCCCCAGAAAATTTTTAGAGTAGAAACTGAACTGTGAAGTTTAAGTGTTTTTTGTTGACACTGATGCCAAATCAGATGATACAGTAATTGTGTGGTGAACCTCTGTGCAGAAAGGAAAATGACAAACACTGAGAAGTGCACAGGGAAGGGACAGAAGGAATTTCACCATAACCAAAGAAAACACTGTAGTGCCACGCTTGAGAGAAGGAACTTTAAAGTACAATACTGACTGAAACAATTGGAATTCTGAGCAAAAAATTCTGGAGTTTGAGCCCTACTCTGTTCAGTGGCACAGGACTTAGAAGTTATTTTGATCAAATAAATACCTGGATAGCTCACCAATTTTGTGTAAAAAATAAATTTATCTCCCTAAATTGGTCAAAAGGGATAAAATAATTGTGTTAGAGCAAACCAGTACCTAGCATTCATTGAAAAATGTGAAGTATTGCCCATTTTCTGTTAATCCATAGTCTTTGAAAAGTTGCAGATAATGGAAATATTTGCATATTGTTTCTTCTGTGAGCAGAGGAACAGAAGGGCTTAATTACTTAAGACAGTGTTGTTTGGCTACACAGTCTCTTTTTTGCCCCTTTTCTCAAACAGTTTACAGCTGTCTTTAGTGTTGCGTATGGTGTATTAATTTCCATGTTTCAGTCTATTAAAACAATGTAATATTTTAATATTCTTTCAGTATTGGCTGACATTATCAGAAGAGCAAATTCTACAGTCCATACAAATTGAGAAGTAGTGCTGTTCTAAAGTTAAAGGTGATGCCCTTCAGAACGCTGAAGATTTAATTGTGTCTTGGTTACAAGAGTGTTTAAAGTTTAGACAAAAGACCCTGTCATTGCTGTAGCTGTCAAGGTGCCAACATCTTCAAGATAAAAGCTGCTTTTTTTTTTTTTTTACTGCCTAATAAGCAGGAGGACTGGATCCAATGTACGCTGGCCATTGCATGTCACTACTGCCTGCTACATTTAAAATATGTTGTTTAGTCATGGTGTTCTGTAAGTATGAATGTCAGCATGATTGAAGTGTGCAGGGTTTATGTGAACGCTGTAGAAAACTAGGGTTAGTAGAAAAAGATTAAAAAAAGAGTTCTACAGTGAAAACAGAATTCTTGTAGGATTTCTAACTTCAAACTTTCTAACCTCCCAAGTTGTTGGGATACTTGAATTTTTATCTGTAGTTTATTCTAGGAGAATGCTGCATTGTAAGTAGCTTATGCTCTTTTGAAATAAGAACTAGAATGTTGAATATCATTATCACTGGCTATTATAATAACCAAAACTGCTAAACTGTAAGGAAGGTTTTAGTTAAGATACCAAGTAAGGGGCAGTACTCAGATAAAAGAGACTTGAAACTTTTTTAATTTGTTGGTCTGGTTTGGAAGCAGCCCTACGAGAATGTAGTACAGTCATTTTCCAGTGTGTTCTGTTAATTAAAATTCAGGAGGCATTTTCCTGTTCCCTGGCTTAACTGAAGTTTTTGCTGTGCTTTTGTTCCATATCTGAATAGATGTTGTTGAAAGCCAAAGTGTAAGGGAGAACTTTTCAAAGACGGCATGACTCACTGAACGGTGAGAATATCACAAAGTGTACAGGCAGCTGTGTTCACAAGACTGTTTTAAACTGACAGTTAACTTTTCAGTTGAAGGTAAGCATGAAGGTTTATAACTGTTGAAAAATATACAGTAACTTAATTCTAATATAAGATACTCTTCAAGGTATTTGAACAGGTTGGCAAGCAGTGAGATGAACAAAAAAGGGCTAAGTGAACAAGAGAAATGGTTGATCCTGGGTAAATTAGAAACAGTTTGCTATAGCTGAGTTATTGTGAGTATATGAGTTCATCGGACTTTTAGTACAGTCTGTAATTTTAGATACCTGATAAGAAGTGTTAAAATCACGTAGAAGCTAATATCTAAGTATGTTAAATTATCTTTTCTGTCCTAGAGTTAAAAAAAAAAAAAAGGTTATAAAGTTACCTCCATACTAGACACCTCCAAAAATGGTTCTTAGATCTTGAAATAAGTCTATTGAGGTATCATAGCTACACAAACTTTCATTTTGTTGGTATTTATACTGTATTATGAGCTGTGGCTATAGGCTGTAATTTACTTACTGTACGCAAGTGAGTTGTTAGAATGTTTACATAATTTGAAATGTAAATACAGCTTGTTACTAAATATTGCTTTTATTTATTTTATATTAATAGACAAAAACCTAGTTGAGTGCTGATCTGAGTATGTGAAGGAAGTAAATTATATTCTTGGTCGTTCTTCATCATTTGCATTTCCATTATTATTATTTAATTGCCTTTGTGAAGTGTTATGACCAGGGAAGAAGGTTACAGAGAAGAATTTAGCTATGACAGGATGCCAACTTTGGAGAGGGGAAAACAAGAAAATGGAAATTATATACCAGATATCAAATCCAGTGACCTTCAGCTATCAAAGAGGCTGCATCCTTGCTTTAGTTACAGAACATGGATCTTTTCTTTGCTGATGGGAGTAAGTACTTTAAATGATACAAAATTTTAAAATGTAGGTGAGGTCTCAGTGCCCAGTAATCTGTTCTGTTTCACGTCATTTGGGAACTCGGAATTTCAGTACTGATTGTACAAATATTTATATTCAATACTGAAAGGAACACATTTAGCAAATTTAGAGTGTAACACTCAATTGACTAATGGTTCTGTGGGTAATTCTGCACTAGTCAAAGATGCTGTATGAAGACTGATTTTTCTCTTTAATATTAATCATACAACATAAACAGGATGTGTGGTAGCAGTAAATACCAAGCCATAGATCTGTGTAAGCACTGCTTTTTGGTAAAGGATGTAGAGTATCCTGATCATATGTATTCTTTTAACATATTTTTAACTGTTGAAAGTACTTTACTTGGCATGATAGCATTTTGGCATGAAAAATTTGCACAGTACTTAATTGCCACAGTAATTTTTCTGAGTTCAGTAGTCATATAGTTATTTGGTAGAATCTTCAGGTAGTGAAGGACGTACTTGTGTTTCTTACATGAATGTTGTGTCGATTTGACTTTCTGTCACTGCTGGAATCATAGGACAGTGATCTTGCACGTACATCATATGCTTCTTCATGTTCTGAGCCAAGTTAATTAAAGTTCATTATAGCAATTAGAATTTGATCTTTTTCTGCCATCTTGTGTGTTTTGAAGACTAATTTTTATAAGTGCTAAAATGTTTCACTGTTAATATGGTAATTACTTGTTTTTGCACAGTGAATAAAAGAACTGCCTTATTTTCATGGAAACAGCTGAACATTTTTTCCTTTCTGACAATTTGCAAAACTTGGATTTCCTTTCAGATGTACTGTTACATGAAAAGAGAGCAAATGAAGAACTGGCTTTCTTTGCATTAAATTTTATCAAACTTACTTGTCAAAAAGAACAACTGTCTTCAATTAGATTTTTCCCTTTTGCGGAGTTGTTGTGAATGATTGGAGATACTAATGTTTAATGCTTATTTCCTGAAGTCATATTATCAAGAAGCATGATTTTTATGGATAAATGAAAATTTAATTTTGTTCAACTAATCCAATAAATTCCAATTAGATTTTTCTTCCAAGTATTGTAGTGGTTAATTTCTCTCAACCCTTTTGAAAGGCAGTGTCCAGAAAGGAAAGTCTGTATGCTGAGCAACAGAAGTCCCAATGAACAGCACTGTCTAATTCAGGTAGCTGTTGCAAACTGTAGTGACATCAAAGTGGCTGCTAGTATGGGCTGTTCTTGTGCAGGAATGATTGAGTATGCTTCAAGCACAATTTTAAGCTGTGTTCTATAAAAACTGGTCTTCTAAATACTAGTCTGCCAGAATCCTCTGTGTATGTGCTTATAAATACATACACTATCCTTATTTTCTGTAATTTTTTGACAAGGACTTTTTAAAGACCCCTGTAATTTTGTATCATGAAAAAAATGCCCTGATAAAACAGAAGAGTCATTCTGTCTCTTATCTACCCCAGCCCCTTCAAAGAAATGCCCATTAAGAGGAACAACAAGGAAAAAGAAAAAAATGTTAGTAGAATAAACTAATCATTTGTTGCTGAGAGTGTAACTCTGATAATTATGAAATAAACAAAACAGTTAACAACAGAACAGAAGGAGTTGAATGTTTATGGATGTGCCACTGGACCACAGCAGAAAAAGAGGTTGGAGGGAGGCAGCAATATAGGTGGAAGAATCTTCATCAGTGTATCATAATATTATTTTTGTTACTCTATTCTAGTTGGTAATTGCCCAGCTGCCGACATGCATAATGAATTGTGGTGGAGCCAAGCAGAGAATGCAAAGTAGAGGCTTAGTTGGGGTTTCTGTAACATTTTTAGCACTAAGCACTGCAATTACCTTTGGGGCATTTTGTTAGGTGTTTGCCCAGTCAGGGCACAATGCTTGATTCAGACATGATTATATTCAGTATTGAGTCTTGGTAACCAGCAAAACATCTTCAGAACTCACCATGTTTTGATATTTTTCTTCAAAATTATTCACATTGTTAAATGTTCATCAGTAGCTTACTTTAAAAGGAATTACTGATTTCTGTCTGACTAGTTGCTTTTTTAAAAATAGTTTTATTCATGTTAATTTATCTTATTTGTTGCTTTTCAGACTTGTCTCCTTATTACTTCTGGATTTTCACTATATCTGGGAAATATTTTTCCATCTGAAATGGATTATTTACGTTGTGCAGCAGGTTCAGTAAGCATTCTTAATTATTTGCTGTGGCTGTTTGAGAGCAAAATCAACAGTAAATAATTTTTGTGGGTTTATTGTCTTTTATTCTGTCTGTCTTTTTACTACTAACTTTCTTCATGGAAGATTTAATTCTGTTTAACAGTTCATTAAATGGATTTTCATCCCAGCATTAAGGGAATAACAATTGTCATAAAGACAACTAGTTTCTGCTACCATTTTTGTTAACCAGCTCACCGCTGGTGTGCAGTAGTTATCTGCATGAACATACATATTTTCTGTGCTTGATTTTAAGAAAGTTTCTATTGTTAAGTACTTGGGGAATTTCCTGGGTAAATGGTATCAGAATGTATTTCAGATTGTATTTCAAAATATTACTTTTTCAGTTTATTTTGCCATAATATCCAAGTACTGAAACAGGCTAATATTCTCTTGAATATTACTATTTTATTAGTAAAATACACATTAAAGATGTCTGACATTTTCCAAAGTCCAGTA